GGTTGGGGTTTCGGTTCATGCCGTTTTCCCTGTGATAGCGCTTGGTTTGGCAGGAGGCCTCCTGAGGGCTCAATTTTGCTGGTTCGTTGTGTGCGCCTTGTGTCTGCGTGCGATGGCCCGCCCGCCGCGTTCCAACAAAAAACAGTCGTCCTCCTCTTCCTTCTCCTCCTCCTCCTCCTCCTCCTTCGTCAGTCTGCTCTTCCTTTCCGTCCACCCTCGTTTCCTTTTCTTCCTGCTCATCCATCCTCTTTATCCCGTCCCTCGCCGCAGCCACCATCGTCGTCGCCCGCCCCCGAGACCTCCACGTCCTCCGCACCCACGTTCCCCCCTCCTCCATGTCCGACGGAGGGCGGCCGAGCAAGTTTCATGCGTATGCTCTCGCCACGCGCGCACGCCGTGACTCAGACAGATGCCCCAAGAGGTGGAGGAGGAGCAGGAGGAGGGCGAGGAGGAGGAGGAATAAGAGGAGGAGGAGGCGGAGGAGGAGGAGGAGGAGGGGGGAGGGGGAGGGGGAGTGGGGGGTGGCAAGCTAGGTGCGCGTGCGTCTTATCTGATGTCCGACCCCGCCCTCCCATCCCTTACCATGACGTAGACCTGGATCCACTGAAATTCGCACAGTCAGGGCATGGCCAACCAAATAGCATGACATAGCATGGCATGGCATAGCAGAAGAGGGCACCGCTCGGCAGAACCAAGATTCTGAACGTAACCCCCCAATCCTGTGTGTAAAAACACCGCGCGTGGAAGAATGCGGAACGAACGGAACCCTGAAAATGAGGCCAACGCTGCAACGGGAACGACATTTCGTTTTGTTACACATCCGTGACCATCGCCATTTTGGCTCGCGGTGTTGGCGCGACGGATCCGACACGCATGAGCTCACCGCGCAGGAAGCGCCCGCGCACGCGCACATTTCAGTGCGATGGTCTCTCCGAGATGCTCTTAGAATGTTTTCCCAAAGACGGACCCTTCCCAGAGTATGCGAGCCGAGACATGCGGGCGGACATTGGTAACGCAGGCCTTCACACCCATGTGGCAACGTTGACGGCGCTCATTCAGATCGACAAGCGTGGAGGTTTCTTCAAACAAAGTGATATTAAGAATGCATTAGTCCAGAGGTGGGCACATCGCAGAGTGGAGCTACTTGACTGGGGCGTCAGCAACAAAATGACAGACTTCCAGCAAACCATGGATATGATGGCATATACGTATCGAGTGATGCTCAGCCACGTTCGGGAGAGGTGCGATCGCTACAAGGCATTGGCATCGGGCTCGAACGTCACAAAAAATCACCCTCAGTGGCTCCAGGACATCTACAACATGATCGAGCCCACCGACGCGACTGACCAGATGGCTGCTGCTGAGAATTCACGGCCGCACCCTTGCTTGCTTTTCGTGGAGATCAAGATTCCCCAGCTGACGTGGAGCCAGATGCCGACGCACCAACCATCATCTTCAAGTGCGTCGAGCCCGTGGGAACGGGGATGCGCGCCTTCGCGCTGATGTCGGACGGGGGCCGCCTGGGGGCCGACAGTTTCAAGAGCGGCGAGGGGGGCTTTGCAGTTGCCATCTTCAAGAACGCAGGAGTGGAAGATGCCATGCTTACCGAGATTCCATCGATGTAGATCAGCGAAGACAAGAAGAACTTGTTGGCCCCTGTCCCTGTCGGAGTACCAAAAAAGAGTGCACGACCGAAGAAGAGGCCAGCTGCAGCTAAACCTAAAGTGAAGCCACCTGTGAAGAAGCCAGCAGCCTGTGAAGGAGAAATCGCGCCTCCTGGTGAGAAGGCGGCTCCCGCTGAGGAGGCGCAGGAGGAGGGCGATCATGGGCCTGAGGGGAAGACGTTGGACGAGATGTTGCAAGCAGGACGGGACATGTTGCCGCCTGATGCGGCGGCCACCTTCGAGCTCGAGGCCGGCAAGAAGACCTACGCGTACGACCCGAACACAGGGCGACTACGAGAAAATGGTGAACCGTGCCAGCAAAATGCAGATCACGCTGTCGCGGAAAAAAGCTGAACGATTTTTTTACGTCACAGACGTCTTCGAGCTTCCTGCTGATGTTCCAGATGGGCTGAGGGTCAACGGCCAGAAGGGGTTGCAGATCACCTGGACGCACTCAAGCAAAGAGGAGGTCGATCGACTATGGAAGCTAGCGCTTCGCATCTGTCAGCTCCAGAAGACTGTCGGCGCGGCGGCTTGAGTTTCGCAGGTATCATGAAGCCACCCTCATTGGGTATGATGCGGATATGGTGAGAGCTGTCACGTGTTGCACCTTCGACAACAGAGCATTCATGACAGGCCCTGTCATTACCGCATGTGCGAGCTTCGAGCGATGACCTGAAAAACGTCGCCAAAAAAGAGAGAGCACCTCCCCTCCGAGTCATGTGGTGTTTGATTGTGCTGCCCCTGATTGCATCGACGCTCCATGAGGAATAGGAGGAAGGGGGGGAGGTGGAGGAGGAGGAGGAGGGAGGACAAGGAGAACGATACGGAGGAGGAATGAAGAACATATGCTCACGCCACCACTTCTCCTCGTCAACTTCCGCTGCTTCCCATTCGGTCGACGCATCCACGCATCCGTGCCCTCTTCGGTCAAACTCGAAATCATCCACGCTGCCCGCATTTTGCTCACCCCCACGCTCCTCTTCCACCCGCTGCGAGGGTTCCGCTTTCGCGTGTCGCTCTGGGCTCTTTCTGGTGAAAGGTGCGCTCAGCCCTTCAGGGGGGACCGAAGACAAGGGGTGTGCAAGAGAGGGGCGAGGATGAGAGGGAGGACGAAGAAGAGGAGGAATGAGGAGAGAAGGAGGAGGGCCATGAGTAGCTTCAACTGAATATGAAATCTGGAGGAACAGCACGACGAGGAGAAGACAGAGAAAGAGAGCGACAGAAAGAAATAGATGCAGGACGACGATTAGGGGGGCAACCAAGAATAGGAAGAGTAGGAGGACGATGAGAACTAATGAGGGGTAGGGGAGGAGGACGACGACGAGGAAGAGCAGGACGAGTGGGGGGGGGGGGAGCTGAGCGAGAGCGAGGGAACAAAACAAAGGCGCGAAGTATTCCTTCCATGGAATGCGGGGGGCGATTGAGGGGCAGGGGGCGGAGGAGGTGGATGAGCATGAATAAGTTGAGGGGGGTGTGGGGCAGTTTTTCTCAAACGAGGCTGGCAAACAACAGGGAGAAGGAATGGGAGGATGAGGGAGAGGGGGGGAGGAGGAGGAGGAGGGGGAGGAGGAGGAGGAGGAGGAAGAGGAGGAGGAGGAGGAGGAGGAGGAGGCCAAAAGAATGCCGCAGCGGCGCGCCGAGGGAGAGGAGGAAAGAACGGGGCGTCTTCCCACCGCCCCACTCCCCGCCCCCCCGCTGCCCCGTGGCGCGGACGTCGACATGTTCGAGGCTGCTGCGCCCCGCTCGCGCGCCGTAGGAAGAGGAGGGGGCCCCTCAGCAGCGGGCGGATCAGACGGGGGGCGGCGAGGGAAAGCGGCGACGACACCATCGCCGCGCAAACCCTCCCCCATCCCCCCTTGGAAACCAAAAAAAAAAACAAGCAGTTCGTTCGGGCGCTTCCTGAAGCATTCTTGACGCTTCGCGTATCCCCACCAGCCCATCCAGAAACGATCAGCAGGGAAATCTGCGAATCAAGGTTACCGCATCGAAGGGCCACGAACGGCCCAAGACGGTTCCCAAATCGTTCCAAGACGGCCCAAGATGCTGCCAAGAGAGCCTTGGGACGGCCCAAGAGGACCCCAAGACAGCCCAAGAAGGCCCAAGGGAAACCCAAGAGGGTGCCAAGACGGACCAAGAGAGGCTCAATACTGCCTCAGATAGGTTTCAACGGCCATGCGGGTTAAACCAGCCATGCGGGTTAGAACAACCATGCGGGTTAGAACGGCCATGCGGGTTAAAACGGCCATTCGGGTTACAACTGTCGTGCGGGCCATGCGGGATGCAACGGCCATGCGGGTCAACACAGCCATGCAGGTTAAGACGGCCATGCGGGTTAAGACGGCCATGCGGGTTGAAACGACCACGCGGGCTAAACCTGCCAGTTTGGGTTGACACGGCCATGCAGGTTAAAGCAGCCATGCGGGTTACAACGTTCGTGCGGTCTAAAACTGTCATGCGGGTTAACACAGCCATGCGGGTTAAGACGGTCATGCGGGTTCACGTGGCCATGCGGGTTAAAACTGCAAGTTGGGTTAACACGGCCATGCGGCTTTAAAGGGCAATGCGGGTTAAACGGACATGCGGTCTAAGACGGCCATGCGGGTTAAAACGGACATGCGGTTTACGACGGCCACGCGGGTTCACGCGGCCATGTGGGTTAAAACGGCCATGCGGGTTACAACGGCCGTGCGGGTTAAAACGGCCATGCGGGTTAACGCAGCCATGCGGGTTAAAACGGCAGCGCGGGTTAAAACGGCCATGCGGGTTAAAGCGGCCATGCGAGTTACAGCGGCCATGAGGGTTCAAACAACCATGCGGCTTAGAACGGCCATGCGGGTTAAAACGGCCATTCGGGTTACAACTGCTGCGCGGGTTAAAAGGGTCATGCGGGATAAAACTGCCGCGCGGGTCAAACCAGGCACGCGGGTTAAAACGGCCATGCGGGTTAGAAGGGCCGCGCGGGTTTAAACGGCCATGCGTACTCAGAAAACCAATGTTGTTTACCTTCTCGCGCTTACTTCGCCTCTCATGGGCCCTCGAGGCCTCAGGGCTGCCCAAAGACGGCCCAAGATGGCCCCAAAAGGGACGGTTGAAATTTCGGACCAGCTCAAACCCATGCACGCTCGAAGTCCACCTCCACCTCCACCTCCACCTCCACCTCCGCAGCCGCTTTGGCTCAATCATGACGTGCTGTATCTGCGAGGAGCCCTTCGATGACACAGTTGTGGACGCTGCCGAGTTCACGCCTTCGTGCCATCATGGCGTGCACGCCATGTGTTTAGGTTTGTGGCTTACCAGAGGACCCATCCACCCTCTCAGCTGCCCCGTCTGCAGAACGCCATACAGCAGCGACGAGGACGTCGAAGGCTGGCTGACGCGCACGGGGGTTGATGTTGATGCGCTCTATGCCGACATGAGTTACCCGAGGTCGCCGACGGGGGGTCGTCAACCACCGCCGCCACCAGTCAACGTGCTCCCACTTTGCCGCCCTAGGACAGTCCTTGCAGATACGTCGTTCGTGCAGACCGAGGATCGGCGGATGAGATGGTCGCCAGCTCAAAGTCCGTCTGGGGTGATGGACTTCCCTGCGTGGCACTGCTACAACTGCAACAGCGCCATGACCCAGCTGGCTCGCGACCAATTTCAGATCGACAAGCCTGTGATGATAGCGCCCGTCAACTTCTCGGTCGACCCCCCGCATTACTGTTTGGGCCACAATCGTATGCAGGCGACCGTCATCGACTTGACTTTGCTTGGGGTCACGTGTCCCTGGTACTTTGCTTGCTGCACGATGCCAGGGAATGAGGTACCCGACATCATCGGGTGCGTTAACTTCGTACCAGATGCACTCCCAGCTGAGCCAATCATGGTGGACAGCGAAGGCAGCACGTCAGATGATTCAGACATCGCGACCCTCAGGGCCATCGCGAACGACGAGGGTGACATACAGGAGGAGTTGAGCGAGCTCGCGAGGATAGCGGCTGCACCCTGAGCTTCGCGTCAATAGATCCTTCCTCCATCCTTCACCGTCCACTCCTCCTTCCTCCGTTCCAGTTTGACTCCTCCTTACCCTCCTCCATTACTCGCCCTCCTCCTCCTCCTCCTCCTCCTTCTCCACGTCTGCGTTTCAAACCCATTTGAACAAGCAAACCTGTTCCCCTCCTCATCCTCCTCTTCTTCCCTACTTTCCCTTCTCTCATTCGTCCTCTTCCCCCTCCTCCTCGCTCCCCCTGGGTCCTTCCAGGGGCGCGAGATTGTCTGCGCCGCTGGCCGCTCGCGCGCTCTAAGTTGGGGCCCGCCCTCAGTAACCATCTTGGAGCCCCCCGTGCATGGGCCGCCAATGGTGCAGACGATTTTGCTTCCAAAGACTGACCCAGGGCGGCGTCGCAGTTAGCCGCGCGCTGCCGGGGCAGAACGGTCGCGGGGGGGGCATCTATGTCTGGCGCATATCTGGCAGAGGAGGGGTGCCAGATATAGAAAATCAAAAAACACAAGGTTTTTCAAGGATTCTATATCTGGCCCCCCCCCCCCTGCCAGAGATGCGCCGGAGATAGGGCCTCCGCCGGCGCGCGCCGGCGACGCAGGCAGCCTGGTCTCTGGGTCCTGGCCTGCTCGCCCCGAGGCAGCCTGTCCGTGCCAGTAGCGATCGCGCGAGGGGTGCGACCTCTCGGAAACAATGACATCAAACCGCCTGCAGAGCAGGGTGAGGACGAGGGCCAGGATAAGAATGATGACGAGGAGGAGGAGGAGGAGGAGGAGGAGGAGGAGGAGGAGGAGGAGGAGGAGGAGGAGGAAGGAGAGGAGGAGGGGAGGAGCAGGAGGAGGACGAGAAGTAGGACGAGAAGGAGCATGTTCACACGACAAAGAGATATTCAAATAGACTTGTCTGTGGCCGTTGACTGGCGCTTCGGGGGAGAGCAAGATTCACATGGGGCGGGCCCGAGAGAAAATCCCACCAGCCCTCTGGGCGCAGGTGGTCTAGGGCGTTCAACCTCCTTCCTTCCCCTGCTTGGGAGGTTTGCCCCCCCCCCCCCTCCATGCGTTTGGACGGGGGGGAGGCCGACCCATAGCAGCGTCCAAGATGGCCCAAGATGGCCCAAGATGGTTCCAAGAGGGCCTCAGAGAGCGCAAGATGGCCTCCAAGATGGCCCAAGCTAGCGGTAGATGGGTCAAGATAGCCTCCGACGCACGTCCAAAAGGCCTCAAGACGGCCCCAAGACGGTTTCAAAACTTAAGGAAAAACACTGTTTGTTTGCCTTCTCGCTTTTTTGCCCCCGATGGGCTCTCGAGGCCTAAAGATGGCCCCAAGACGGTCCAAGATAGCCCCAAGGGGGGTCCAAGAGGGTTACAAGACGGCCTCACGAGCGCCCGAGAGCGCTCCAAGAACGGCCTAAGAGGGCCCCAGGACGGCACTCTTGAGCCTCCGATGGGGGGGGGTCCGAATTAAGGGCGCCCCTTTTTGTATCGAAAGGGTCCAGGACGGCGCCCCAAGAGGCCCGTCAGGCATCCCAAAAGAGCCCCAAGAAGGCCCCCAGACCACCCAAAAGAGCCCCAAGAGGGCCCCAAGACGCCCCAAAAGAGCTCCAAAAAGCCCCAAGAAGGCCCTAAGATGACCTCAAGAGAGCCCCAAGAAAGAGCCCCAGGAGGCCACAAGAGGGGCCCAAGAGAATCCCAAGAGAGCCCCAAGATGCCTCCAAGTTTCGGAACGCACACGAGCTTAAGATACAAGTCAATAATGCAACAACCAGTACGAGTCATCGAAACACCCCTCACCCCTCATCGAAACACCATCGCAGCTCGCACTGATTTTCATCTTAAACTTCCATGCGGGGAGCTGTTTGTGATCCTTGTTTTCTCGAAGACGGCTGCGCCACTGCATGCGTCCTGCCGCCCCTGATTCAGCAATTCCCCTGCTGATCGGTTCTGGATGGGCTGGGGGGGATACGCGAAGCGTCAAGCATTATGTCAACCACCCCAACAACACCAACCTTAAAAGGATGACGGCCCCTCTGGGCCTTAAAATGATCTGCCTTCGTTCAGTGCTGTCCCCCGCCGAGACCTCCCCACTCCGTAGCCATTTGGGTTCTTCAAACACGTTCTGCAATCCAACCTAGGGTTTCGTGCTGCAATGCCTCCAAAGCGCAGGCCTGAGCAGCTCCCCAGCGCATGCGAGGATCTGAAGCGCCAGCTCCTCTCGGAGGGCGGCGCCATCGCGACAGAGGGCATCGCGGGCGTGGAGCGGAGCCTTCGCATGCGGGCCTTCTCGGCCCTCAACGCGACGTTGAAGACGTGTTGCGCCGAGAAGCATGTGGAATATTCAAAATTGAAAGATGATGAAGACCGTCGCGAGTGGCTCGCGGCGTTTCTTGTGGATCCTGCGACGGGGGGCTCCCTCGTGCGCAACAGCGCCAGCCGCAGCAGCATCTCCAGGGGGTCGGGGGCTAAGGCCTGGATGACGATCGTTGAGTTCGGAGGGCCCAAGGGTTGCAACAACGTCGAGCATGCCAAGCTGAGGTGCGAGGGCAAGGAGTTTCCTGAGCGCATGCACGAGAGCCCTCTCTTGGCCGAGCAATGAGTGAAGCAGTACTACTGCCCGATCAACGTCCAGGACTTCTGGGAGAAGGAGAAGAAGGAGTCGGTCGCGGTCACCGCGGAGTCTTCGCTCGAGGCCCACCAAGTGGAGGACCTGAAAACGATGATGGAGAACAGCTACTCGTTCACAGTCCCGCAGGTCTCCTCGAAGAAGCGCAAGACCGCGGGCAGCAGCGGCAGTGGCCAGAAGCCAGCGCCGTCACCAGCTGATGCCAAGGAGGAAGAACCCCTAACCCCTGAGCAGAAGAAGGCCATCGAGGATGAGAAGCTCGTCGCAGAAGCGAACGAATTGCTCCGCGACCAGGCCAAGAAAGCCAAGATCCAGTACGACAAGATGACCAAGGAATTGTCAGAGGTGCGGGCCGTCGAGGACCGCCTCGCTGCGAAGACGCAGTGGGGCGACGGCCCCTTGAGGTACCTCCAGGCCCAGACCAACCCTCAAAGCCCTTAAAGGCCGGCCTTCCAGGCCCAATCAAAGCAGAGCCCCAGTCAGAAGGGGGGGGGGGTGGATAGAGCTAGAGAGAGAGCGAGTAGGGCGAGGGCAATTAGGATGACGAGAGGACCCGAGTGGATGATGAGAGGGAGAAGGATGGAGGGTGGAGGAGGATGAGGAGGAGGAATGATGATGATGATGATGAGGAGGAGGAGTAGGAGGAGGAGGAGGAAGAAGAGGTTGAGGAGGAGATGTAACATGTTTGTTCTCTATGTTTGTCGAAGCAAGTTTGAAAGCACCAAGAGAGGCAAGATGAGGAGGAGTAAGAGGAGGAGGGGGCCCCTCCGAAGGCCCCGTGCGCACCCCGTAAATTCCATGCGCAGGTCGCAGCGGCGCGCAGAGAGGGAGGGGGGAGAATGGCAGCCACTCCCAGAGGACCAACACATCAATGCAATGCACAATCCAAATCGGAAAACTATTGAGCCAGGCCCTTCCCCCAATATCCGATCCCATGCGAGCTAGCGAACGCTGCAATATCTCAATGGCTACTGTGGGCCCTATTGCTCTCACCTCGCTCCTGCTGCTGCGGCTGCTGCTGCTCCCCCCTCCTCCTCCTCCTCCTCCTCGGTGTTGCTAGCCCATTTTGGCCCAAAGAAATTCGCAAGGGATATGTTTATGGTACTCAGCCTTTGTGCCATCTTGATGCCCCCATGCCAAGGCATACGCCAATCCCTTGGCATTGATGCGCCCCGCAGGCGTTGTGCTCCAGGCGATGCGGGCACTCTCGCTGGCCAGATCGAAGACTTCGCTGTAAAACGGTTCAAGGGTGGACAGCTCTCAGCGAAAGATGTGGAAGAGATCAAGGAGATGTCTGGCCGATCAGTATCCCCCCACGCTGGTAATTCACATCGCACGGTGATCAATCGACATCGGCGCGGCTCGCAGCATCCTGATGTCTACGAGGCATGCGTTGACCTGTGGGACTACGACCGCCAGTGCAAAATTCAAGACAAGGTATTTTTCTTGCTTCCCTACGAAAGGTTCGAAGCCTTCGCCAGCGACGATCCGGCGAGCTGGGCCGACTTCCCTGACATGGCCTCTGGATACAAAACAAGACGAGAATGGGCCGATCGCGTTGGGGCTGCAGATCATCAAAACATAGTCGCGGTCGGCCTTTGGGGCGACGAGGCGCCTTTCACGAGCAATGACAAATTATTGATGGTGCTGTGGAACTGCATAAGTACAAAAGCTGAGAAAAAAAACGATATTGGGTTTGCGTTGTTCCTGGTTTTCTGTATTGCAACTGTGGCTGCAAAGGCAGATGCACGTGCGACAGCATCTGGCGAGTTCTGTCTTGGTCTTTTCGGGTGTGGCTCGCTGGTAGATATCCTGCCAAGCGACATGATGGCACCCCGTTCTCTCAATCTGCATTTCGTGGCGACAGCAAGCGAGCGGCCTTGGCTGCTCAGGGTGCCGTGCTGTCGCGTAGAGGTGGAGTCATTCAAGGCAGATTCGATTGGGACTGGCTCAAAAAGGTCATCGGCCTCAGGGGCTGGCGCGGCGAAGGTCCTTCCAAACAGATGTGCTTCAGATGTGGTGCCGCCCAAAGTGCCGCCTGCCCTTTCACCGATGCGACCGAGCATGCTAAATGGAGATCGACATGCAGTGTTCTGGACTATACCAGGCTTCATTTTACCATACACTGTTTGTGACGTCATGCATGTGTGCGACCTCGGGATCACACAATACCTGAACGGAAATATCGTTATGGAGCTCTTTCGTCGAATGGGCGGCCTGAGAACTCGCCCAGATGAAACGTTGGCTGACATCGCAGGTTTCGTGAAAATGGCGAGCAAGAGTTTAAAATACAGCAAACCACCCTTGAACAAACTGACTTTGGGGATGATCCAAGCTAAAGGCGAAAAGGGGGTCAAGCTCAAACTCAAAGCATCGGATTTTCGGCTCAT